GAGTGTACTACAAGGGGCCCACCTGACAAAAGATAATTGCGGGGTTTTCTGGCCCCACCCTCATATAAATTAAGCAGTACTCTTGTTGGATGCCCATCTCTCTCGCTTCTAGGAATGTGTTTTATCAACTATTATCATAGCTCTCTACAGGTTACTCCTCCTGCCCGTTCTCCATCATCTGTCTCCTATTCCGACCCTGAAGCTCATTGTCATCGTTATGCCCACTTTGTTTCTGATAGGTAAGTTGTACCACCTCCTCTCCATTCTCATCCTCTCATTCCTGCTGTGATCAACCCAGCTCCATCACAGCATCTCGTGCCCTTATCCTGACCTTCAGATCAGCCAACCACTGATCTTCCCAGCTCCTATTATGGAAAGTCCCATCAGCCCTCTCATAGAACATAAGCAGGTGGGTTTTCCAGTCTTATGTAGTAGTGTCATCCCTTGGTGTACGAGGTGGACTGGTTCCAGGACCCCCCAAGACACTCAAATCTCCGGCTGTTCAAGTCCCTTATAGTAATTGCATATAACCAAGGCACATCCTCCTGTATACTTTAAATCATCTCTAGATTACTTATAATATCTAATACAATGTAAATGCTATGTAAATAGTTATTATTACTGTAGTTTTATTTTTTATTTTTTAATTTTTAATTTTTTTATTTTTCATGAGCTAAGAAAGATAAATTTATTAAAGAGAAGATACATTGCGAGGGGCACAATGGGCAGGACAGCAGCAAGAATATGTGCGGTCTAGTACCATACTGTAGTTTTAAATTTGTATTATTTTTATTGTTGGTATTTATTTTTCTCTGAATATTTTCAATCTGTGGCTGGTGGAATCAGAACGCAAAACCAGTGGATATGGAGGACTGACTGTATATCCATCCTAGAAGGCCTTATTTAGGGGCAGGTAGAGGAGAAGGAGGGGCTGCTGAGGCAGAAGGGAAATCAGGAGAGTATGATTGTCATTGAGCCTAGACAACCAAACAAGTGCTCAAGAATGGGAGGAGGGAAGGTTCATGTGAGGGCCATACAATTTAGCAAGTTTTAGTGCAGTGTTAAAAATAAAAGCCCAGTTGGAGAAGAAGTGGAGAGGTGAGATAGGTTTGACTATGTCAGGGAGCAGAGAAATGAGACTGTTGCTGAAAGAGGAACAGAGACAAAGGGAGAGTTTTGGTTTTTAAGACAGGCAATATGACAGTAAATGTGTATGTTGATGGGGACAGTGAATTAGAGAAGTCAAAATATATTGTGAAGTCAAGAGGGCTATTTTCAGAGTCACCTGTCCTTGGGCAGGAGATGGGATCTACGCTACAAATGGTGGTTTGCCTTTGATAGGCCGGTAAACATTGTTTTATTGTATCAGAAAGGAGGGCAGAGGCTGAATATACAGATCTGATACAAGGTGGGCTTTGTGGTGAGTGATCAGGTAGTTATGACTGCATGTGTTCTGCTCAGTGAAGTATGCCCTCCCTAGAAGGAGGACACGTTAGCTATTATGAGGAGGAGCTGAAGGCCTTCCTACGTGAGGAGTTGGGCTGGAGAGCCAGCACTCCCTTTAGGGTTGTCCTTATTTCCCCTTTTCTTTTCTCATAATGATGCTTTTTGAAAGATCATAAAAGAATTTTTTTCTTCAGAGTACACCTAATTCTTTTTGTAGCCCTTGCTATGTGCAAGAGCATGTTAAGTCTTTGCTTATATAGAAGACTTAACTTTTTGGGGTTTTTTTCTGAATGTTTTTCATTTCTTTTTAAAAATTTTGTAATTTATTTATGTATTATAGAGTTGTGGAGTACAAGCAAGGAATTACTACATAAGTAGGCTGCATGCAGGTGAAGTGTGGGCTTCTAGGTGGCCCTCGCTCCCTCTGGTAGTAGACCAGGTACCCTTTGTGTTGTCACGTGCCCAACCCCCACCTTTTCATGTTTTAATTAGGTCTACAGTCAAACTTGGGTTCAGATGTATAGAGCAAAGATGTGAAAATAACTACCTTACCATCATTGATTCAACAAATATTTGCTGAGTTCCCACTGGGTGCTAGGCACTGTTGTATAACATTCAGTCAAAGGCACAAGACCCCCTGGCCTCAGGATGTTCACAGACAGGAAACAAACAGGAGACACACTGAACTGTATTGTGTGGGAAGGTAACAAGTGCTATAAAAGAGAGGAGATAAATGGGAATGGAGAGTGTGAGGCAACAGGGTTGTAATTTTAAAGTGGGAAGTCAGGGTAAGCCTCACTGAGAAGGTGACAGTTGAGCAGAGATTTAAAGGTCATGAGGGAGTTTGCTGGCTACATAGTTACCTCAGAGAATACAAGAGAGCACAAATTAATGATTAATAAACATTAGCTAGTGATGTGGAGGGAAATCTTATGTCACCAACAGGAAAGAACGCTCTACTCTTATGTGTTCCAAGGGAATAAAATGACAGGTGTGGAGAATCAACTGTGAGCCAGGTGTGGCGGCTCACTCCTGTAATTCAAGCCCTTTTGAAGATCAAAGTGCAGGACCTTCACTGAGGCAGGAGTTCAAGACCAGCCTGGACAACACAGTGATACCCTGTCTCTGCCAAATAAACCCAAAATTAGCCAGGTGTGGTGGTATACACCTGTAGTCCCAGCTACTTGGGAAGCTGAGGTAGGAAGATCACTTGAGCCCAGGAGTCAGAGGCTACAGTGAGCCAGGATCAGCCATTGCACACCAGCCTGGGCGAAGGAGTGAGATCCTATCACGGTTTTTTTAAAAAAGAGAGAATTAACTGCAATTTGCTGAGCTGTATTAATGGCAGTAACCAAGATGTGGAATATTCCCAGAAAACAAATATTTTCAAAGAGATCAATGCAGAGGTGAGAGTGAAGAATGGGGAGGACTTTGGGAGGACTTAAATTAGTAGATGGGATTCTTCATTCCATAAATTAAGGATTGGAACCATTTAAGGAAGAAAGCTCTGGGCACCCAGGGAAAGCTGCTTATTACAGGATGATTTGGATGACAGTGATGTGAATTGGTGAGCACTCCTGTTAGGGTGTTTCACTTCCCTCATCCATAGGCTACTATGGACAGTCACGCAGGTTTCTATTTTGTTTGCAGATTGTTGTTTTCCCTAAGTTCATCACATCAGTAACATCCAGAGTAGGCACACTTTATTTGTTCCTGTTGCACCTTTAGTAGCTGGTTGTCTAAACGTCAAGTCCCAAATAAAATTCTTTAGTAATCATTTGATGACATCATTGGAGTGGAAGTTACAGCTTAAGCCTAAACTACATTATTCTCACAGGTTCAGGCAATGTCCAAACATCTCCTGAGAATTGGTGAGACAGACCTACTAGGAATCTCTTTAACATAAGGAATGAGAAGTCCTGCCCTTCAGAAATCAGTCCTCTGAAGGGGAATGAGAGTTAGTGAGACACCCTTCATGCAATTATGGAGAGCAGAGGTGATTTTGAGTACAGCATGAGGTGTATAACTTAAACAGAAGGATGTGTTTGTCAAAAAGCCTGTCAGACATCAAGGAGCTCAGAGAAGATCTCATTTGAAACTCACGAAATAGAATACCTCAAAGTAGGGCAGGGCGAGTCTTCCTGTCAGTGAACTCAGCAAGATTCAGCCACCTCAAAGCAGGGTCAGCAGCCCTGGTGGCCCTAGCACAGGCTGGCAGCATGGGTAGCCATCTACAGGAGTGGACAGCAGCTGAGTGGTAGGAGGTCCTCTAGAGACCCCCCCCCCCCCGCCACTGCAGGGTGCTGTAGTAGCAGCCGCAACACAGCAATGGGGACACTGGTTGCCTGGTGGAGTTGAGTGGAGTTGACTCAGCCCAGTACTATCAGGTTGTGACTTTATTTATTTTGAGTTGTTGTCTCACTCTGTTGCCCAGGCTGGAGTGCAATGGCATGATCACGGCTCACTGCAGCCCTGACCTTCTGGGCTCAGGCTATCCTTCCATCTCAGCCTCCTGAATAGCTGAGACTACAGGCATGTATCACCATGTCTGGCTAATATTTTGTAGAGCGCTATGTTACCCAGGCTGGTCTTGAACTCCTGGGTTCAAGTGATTATCCCACTTGGGCCTCCCAAAGTGCTGGGATTACAGGTGCGAGCCACTGCACCGGGCCTAGGTTGTGACTTTAGAAGACAAGCTATGAGCTGCTGTTGCAGGGACCCCAGGACTAAGAGACCTTAAGCAGAGGCAATGAGGGGTAAACAGCAGAAGTCCAGGCTAGTAGGGCATGGTTTCAAACCAGACTGCTCTGTTCAAATCTTGCATCTGCCATTTGCTAGCTCTTTCAGGCTTTGGGTAAATTATAACCTCTCTGGGTCTGTTTTCTCCTCAGTAAATAATATCCAGCTTATAGGGATGTTTAGAAAACTAAATGAGTTCATACATGAAAGCACAGTTCTAAGGATCAGTGATTGACAATAGTAAGCACCTAATAAGGGCCAGCTTATTTTATCATCTACATGACATCTGACACTGGTCCAATCCAACACTACCTGCTATTCAGGTGAATTTCATGAAATACAGAATATTGCAGCCACCCAAAGTCCAAAATAGATGAGAAGAAAAGAAAACCGTCCAGCCATTTCTGCACTCGTATAGTTACCAAATACAATATGTCAGGCACTGTTCTAGGTGATTTGCGATTCTAGGATGTCACATAAGTTTAAGAACTGCCATGAGTCACCCAAGGGAGAGGATGTGGGCAGATAAGATTTTCCACTGTGAATTTTAGTAGTTTTTCTTTGAACAGTGTCATCCCCTCAAAATTTTTTCGCTTTTAAATGCCACATAAAGGCAGTTCAGATTCCTTGTATCACTGTTATGAAGCGAATCGTCATTCCAATAAAGTGACCACGGACGACGCTAATTAGCCGGGAGGAGCCAGGAGGCCGAAGCAAGCAGCAAGTCGCTGGTCGCCAGCACCAGGCGGCGGTGGGAGGCCAACTCTCGCGGAAACAGGGCTCCGGCCGCCGACCACGTGGCTTCCCGGGCGCCCCGCAGCCACGTCGGCGGCGTTCCTCGGTCAGAGGAGGCGTGGGGCGAAGGCCGTGCGTGGCGCGTGCCCCGCCCCTCCCCGCTGGAGCCCGGATGAGGAGTAGCGCCATTACCGCCGGAGCCGCCGGGAGCCCTCGCGGACGGGGACTGGACGCAGGACCGGCCGCGCCATGAGACTCCTCCCCCGCCTGCTGCTGCTGCTTTTGCTCGTGTTCCCCGCCGCTGTCCTGCTCCGAGGCGGCCC